GTCACTCCACTTGACCCGATCACTTCCTGTCTGTAATTTCCCGGAATTCACTTCACCACACCTCGGTTGGTGCTGAAAAAGCTGCGCCGACCCCTGTTGAGACAGCTGAGGCTCTTAACGAGGACTCGTTATCGTTTGCCCCTGTCGAACCACCAACGTTGAGCCCTGGCGCAGTGATGACCGAAAGCTCCACCACCCCGACTGATGTTGAGGCCCCTGCTCATGATACAGAAAAGCCTCCGTCCGGCATAGTGCTCGCTCCATTCGAGATGCTAGTCCAAATAGCAACCATCGAGCGCTTGGCGTCGGAGTAATTCCCCTTTCTTGTTCCATCCTACATAGTTCAGTTCTCAAATATTAATCTAGTGGTAATTCCAAGTAGTCTCGTAATCTCCATTCTCCATATCTCCATATCTCCACTTCGAAAACTCGTTCACACCATATACAAACATGTAATATGCATTATGGTGCAGTAACTACTTTCGTCTGTTCTTGTGGGCTGCACTTGCCCCCACAGACAGATCATTCATCAGTCGCACCTAATCCTCGTCATGATTTGGACCATTTGCAACCTTCGGTCACGACGTTTCTCTCGGAGATAGTCGTATAATAGACCACCGCACGAGAGATTGAATGCAGGCTCCCATCATCCAGTATCGCCTCAACTTCAAATTCACCCGTGACATGGTCTGGTTCCCAGCTATCCTCTAGGAGCAATTCCTCGTCGAAATCCAATCGCGTAGCCTCACTCACGTCCTGTGTCAAACTAGCACTCGGTCGATCTTTAAATTCGTCTACCATCTTTAAGCGTGACAGATGCACAACCGGGTAAAATCTGTACCCACTCCGGTCAGGGAGCTTGAGCTTACAGGCAAACTCAGTCACTTTCTTTTTGACCCTAAACGGTCCATTCCAAGCTTTTTTGCCAGTCTTGGCTTCACCCGTTCCATATACTGCCATACGCGGCTCCCGACCTCAAACAGAGAATTCGTAGCACCTGTAGCATTTCTGTCCTCGGTCACTGCCCCTGCCGCAGGCTGTTCGTCACTTGGCGTAACATTTCGGCCTGTCTCCGGGGCTGTACTTCTTTCTCGACCAAGGAGGCTTTCATTGGGTTTCTTTGCTCTCCGGGCTTTCTCGGTGGCCTGGTATTCCTTGGCCATTTTTTACGCTATTTCTTGTTGGCGGTTCACTGCTTGACGCCATGCCAGTGCGTCTGACTGTCGACCGATTTCTCGTTTGCGCGACGAGGACATCGGCTAGAGCTTAGACTGAGCATCCCACCCATGGACGAGGAAAACGGGAGTCTCTTTCCTCTTTGTGTCCATCGAGTTGTTGATCGCGAAGATCAGCTTTTCGGCGATCTCGTCCCAGTCTTGTTGCTGCAGGTCTTCCGCGTACACGCGCACCGATTGCATGACGGTCTTGACCGAGCGCTCTTGCTGGTCATTGACTTGGGGCCGGTAACTCAACGTTGCCCTAGACCTCGATTGCATCATTTCGGTGAACGATTGGAACACCTCGCTCATGAATCGTGGGTCTTTGTCATGGCTGATGAGAGAGGGTGCGCCGAATGGCTGGTACACACACTCCTCAAAAGCCTGGGCCACTCTCAGAGCAGTCGTGTCTGCTAATGGCTTTGCACATCACATACCCTGTGAATGCGCTTTGGAACAGTAAAAGCGCTGTGTTACCCCCCCCGAAACTTCGGTAAGGGTATCACAAAATCCATCGTAACAACCTGGAACGATCGTTCCGCTAGTATGTTCCCCGGAGAGTATTCACGGATCTTTGGTCGACTTTTGCTTGAGCTACAGTCGGGACAAGACTGCACGTGCCTCGCCACGTCTGCGTATAGACCGATCAAATAATAGTCCAACTTCACTTTGTAGAAAGTCCGGGCGATACATTGGTGGCCTCCTTCTAGCGAGTCGTGGCAGTTCTGTAGTATCTCCGGAATCATCGTTGTGGGTAATACTAGACGCAGCATCGCGTCTTCTTGCTGTTGGTCACTTCTCAGAGGCCTCGTTCCCACAAAGTAAAGCACGTTGTCCTCGCTTAGGACAAAGTGGTCGGACATCTTCCACGCGTCTCTCGCTGCACGGTACGTTAGGGTCGATTCGTCCCCGTGGAGAACTGTCTTCAAATTCGCCCATCGAAACTCCTCGACCTGAGCGGTCGCGATCCTTATCCGACGTTCACGCTGAGCCGTTAGTGGATCCACGTCTTCTGCGTCAGGCAACACGGGGGTATCACAGTTGGGTACCGCTACCCTTGATAACTCTGCTTCCAGACGGACCGAGTCCTCCGTTGGCACACCGTTGGCTTCCTCTCGTTTCTTCACTTGTCACCGAGGTTTCGTCGGCGAATCTGACGCGTTTGGTCTTCTACTTAGCTTGGAGCCTGGTCGTTATCGATAGGTCCCCTATCTCCCTCTAGTCCTCTCGCACAAAATCAAAGAATTTTTTTCGACACGGCTCCGGGACGGTCCCGGATCGTTGTGACGGTTTCGTGTGTCCCTAATGTCGCGTTTGAACTTGGGATTGTGCGATACTGATCGAGGGTTCATCCGCCAAGGCCTCGGGGATAGGTGCATAGATATCCTCTTGGATGTGCTTCAGCGATCTCAGCTGTGCCAGCTTAGGCTCGATAGATATCACGCTAGACGCCTTGTTTTCCTATGCTTCCGTTGCCAGCGAGTCAACCGATGCATTATACTTTCGTACCGCGTGTAGGTACTTGACTGACTTCGGTCGGGCACCAACGAGCTCTCGGTGGCGGTTGTGTTGGGTCATAAGCGACTCCTTTTGTACCCGCAATCAAACCTAGTGACTGCTGGATTGCTAATCTCGAGTTACCAACAAGGACAAGGTCGGTTGCACCAATGTCCAGTGCCGCCTGGACCCCATTCTTCATGCCAGAATACTCGGCTAAGTTCACTGTTGTTGCTTCGAGATAACACTCCCAGCGGTAACTATTGTCCAGTCGGGTAGTCGCCAGACAATCCATGAGAAACTACCATAGCCACCGTATTTCTCGGTTTTGGCTGATCCATCAAACGAGACCACGAGCCCACAATAAGATCGGGGTTGACGAGCGTATATCAACTGAGGGTCATGCGGACGGTAGAAGATCCTTTCGTGGGTGGTGTAACCGTCGTCAACGAGTCCTCCAAATCCACAAAACTCGTTAACCCAGCTTGCAGTAACTGGGTGAAAGCGCAATCATTTTCTTTGACTCTGCTGACAACCAGGTGCCACGGAGACAGCATCATGGGATGTCCACGACGCAGGAGAATAACGCAGGGAAGCGTTCTACAACCAGATACGCAAATGGTATGATCCGACTCGATATGCCGGGCTGTTTATCCGAACAAGTCGAGAAGATGTTAAACTAGGACGCTCGCCGGGGTGGAATCCGGTACGACCCGAGCGTTCTAGATACTGCATCTACGCCTACGTGAACAAGGCGACGACAGATCGAGGTAGGAAGGAGTCGGATCTACGCGGTAAAACATGTAATTTACATTCGTACACCGCCAAGATCGCGAGCCTCCCTCACATGGGCGAATTCATCCGATCTAACGCGGAAGTGACCTTAGATCTCAAAAGAGGAGAGTCCTGGGGATATTGGAAACTTCATGCATCGGGAAAATGGTTCAGACAAGCTAAGATCTCGGGTAGGATCAATCAAGAAAGAGCGATCCTGCTCCTATACACTGGCGCTGAGGTATCAATCTTGGATACCACCTTTGCTCGTAAGGTGGGATGCAAGTTTTGACACTAGTCAGAGTCAGGAATGTGTGGGAATCGGTGACAACGTATATACTACGGAAGGGGGAACCAGGATCAAGATCACGTTAGCGGGATATCTGGTGTATTGTTTCGATATCTGGATCGGAGACCTAGAACGCGATCCTAGGCATGGATTTCATGGTCCCAGCCAGGGTGCAGGTGGACCTCGCCGACGGATCGATGCGTCTACTTGACGAGGTTGGAATACCGCTTAATGGTCATAATAGGCTGTATGGCGAGAAGGTGAGATCAGTGATTCTCGAACGAAATCTACGCATCCCGGTTGGTCGGTCGGAAGAAACAGCGGCGAGGATTAAATTGTCAGCCACAGAGATACTGTGGCCATCCAGAGGAGAACGATGGGTACCGACAGTAACGGATGGCCCCTGTCTGATCCGCTACCTGGTGATCTCGAACATTGGAAAAGAGATCCTACGGCTGGACCACCGTCTGGACGTTGGTATGATACTGGATCAGGACAAAGTACCCCGATCCACAGGGTTCGTGTCCGTCGGGTCTTGTCGCTACCGGGAATGACAGAATCTGGCATTGTAATCGACGGTGGATACTCGATCAGAGCCTCCAGAACCTTTGGAGGACCCTGCAGAGCCGCCGGTACAACGACCAACAAATCCCACACCACGATCGATGCTTTGCCGGGCAGAAACCGCTGACATCAACAGAGATCGAACGTTGATATCGACCCTAGAAACTCGATCGAGGGAAGGAATTGCCAACACATCCCAGATCGAGGCAACGTTTCCCAACCCAGAAAGTTGCCATCTATCTACACCAACAACTAGCCCCGACGGCGCTCGATACCTGAGCGGCGATGCTGGCAACGGCAGGATAAGTGACAGCATGCCGGACCAGGCTACCGATCGGACTGACACCAACGATATCAAGCCGAAGACGGAAAATCGGACTGGCGCAAAGGATATCGAGCCGAAGACGGAGAACCCCGAACTGCCAAACCCGGATCAAACTCGAATCTGACGAAGACTTCGTCGCAAAATCACGGATCCACCCGACCGAGGTCGTCGAACTGCGAGATCCGTCGGCGGAAGTAGCAGCAGCGACCCCCACATGATACCGAGGACGATGATGAGATATACTACCACGAGAGTGGCGATCTCTCAGCTGAAGATCTCGAGAGGAACCTCTCTGTCCTCCTCGAAATCCCGATCTCGACGACCGCGAAGATCGACATCGCAGATCTGCAGGTGGGAGCCTCCGGATCGGCCACCAACGTGGAGATCGAGAAGCTCCGGCAGATCATTTGGAAGAAGCAACACCTCCTGATAAGCAAAGGGAATGCCCTGCCCCCGGCGGCTAGAGGCGTCGTGTGTGACATCGATGTCGGGAACGCGAGACCGATCGCGTTGCGATCCCGGAAAGTACCCACGCGATTTCGAAAAAAAGTCGCAGGCCTGATCAAGGGCCTCCTAGCAGCCGAGATCATCCGACCCTCGAAATCGCCATGGGCCTCACCGATCGTGATTGTCCGCAAGTGTAACGGTGTGGATATCAGGACGACCCGATTGCACGGGATAACGACCCGCCGGAGCATCAGCTGGTGGGATCATTAGATGAGAGGTGGATCAGGACGCATAAGGTCTTCCTCACCCTGAAAACCAAGATCGCAACGACGCCAATTCTCCGCCACTTCGACGAGACGAGAACGCCGGTAGTTATTGTATATGCCAGTGATTGGGTGATATCCGCTTTGTTGACACAAAAACACGACGGGATCTACCATCCGGTTGCGTTCGCCAGTCGCACCCTGAAGACGAACGAGTTGAATTACAATGTGATCCAAAAGGAGGTGTTGGCATTGCTGAGGATCCTGGATCTCTACTACAATTTACTGCGCGAGATCCGGGTCCTAACGAGGCATTCCACGTTAGCCTGGCTGTTCAAGTCGACAGGATTACAGGGTCGCCAGGGCGATGATCAGCTATCCTAGCCCCGTGGACTCTCGAGATCACGAAGTGTATGAAAGACGAGGATGAGATACTGGGGGCGACTGCTGTCAGCATCATGCTGAGGGCGAAGATGGACGACGCTCCAATCGATATCGCCGCTCGGAAGGAACCTAAACGGCGGATCCAAACGCCGATACCCACCGTGTATCGAGAAGCGAAATTATGGGTAGTCAGTTTTGATGGATCGGCTCGAGTGAAGCGTGGCGGGGGCGCCTTCAGTACGATCGTGTGGAGTCTGCCCGGATGGGAGGTGGTCAAAGCTAGATCGGGCTATCTCGAGAGACTCACCGTGAACGAAGCAGAACATAACGGCCTGCTCCTGGGACTCGACACGCTAGAGGACTTAGATTACAAGCGCCTAGTGATCTGCGGTGATTCCAACTTAGTAATCCGACAAGCACGGGACGAGATCGATTGCAAAGCACCCGGGCTGACGCTATTGAAGCGGAAGGCCCTCGATCATCTGAGGAAATGGAGTGGTGCATGTGAAGAGAGTCTGGAATGGGAGAGCCGGCAGTCTAGCGAGTGCCGCTTTGCAACGACAAAGCGGGATCGAGGTCCAAGGAGGATCCGATCACCAAGACCTGGTCACCCTGAACCAGTTGGACGAAATCCTGATTCCCAAGACCGAGAACCCAGTGTTGCGAATTGCAGCGGTCACCACCCGAGCTTCTCAAGTAAGATCGCCCGCAGGAGTCATGCAAGAGGACTTGAGATGCGGGTCGATCGGATCAGGCAGGCTCAGGAGGAGGAAGTCTGGATCGCAGACATGAAGAGGTATCTGAGTGGCTCGATCGCAGACCTCACGCAAGCAGAAGCAAGATCGTACGGCAAGATCTCGGGCGACTATGAGGTGGACGAGCAGGATCTACTCTTCTACTGCCCTCCCACGCCGAGATCGGGGGATGATCGCGATCGGTTGCTCAGACTGGTAGTTCCCGAAACGCTGCAATCGGACGTCTTACATCATTATCATACCATGCTAGAGGGTGGACATCAGGGACTAGGCCGTACCTAGCCGCGGATCAGGGATCACTTCCACTGGAGAGGATTATATCGAAGCGTACAGCGATATGTGGGAGTGGGATGCCATGAATCAACATCGTTCAGCAATGAAAGCGCGTGGGGGATCACTAGGGAACTTACAGGAGACATACCCGTTCCAGATCATTGCAATGGATCACATACCGTCGCTACCCAGATCCCACAAGGGGAATACTGAGTTATTGATCTGGGTCGATCCGTTCATAGGATATGTGATTGCGAAAGCTAGCTCGTCCCGGTCGGCCCAGACGGTCGCGGAATCGTACGAAGAGTGTGTATTTCGGCGATTCGGTGCCAGCGAGATGATCCGACATGATCGAGAACCCGGTTTCATATCCGACTTCCTCCGGTCATTTAATTAGATCTTAGGACAGCGGCAGCGTGCGACGATGGCGTATCGGCCGCAAGTCAACGGGACCACAGAAAGAATGGTACAGACGGCGACCAGGGCGCTCAAGATGTACGTCCGCGATCTGGATCAGAAGAATTGGGATAAGTATGCCGAGCGTCTGACCTTGGCGATCAACACTGCCCACGATCGGATCCAAGGGGATACCCCTCATTATCTGGTGCATGGGTGGGATCCGAGATCGACGTTGGAGGCTACACTGCCAGTCGGCTGCACTAGACGGCGCGATAGAGATCCGCGGCGGTGGCGTTATCAACTGCATTATCAGCAATCGCGGGAGCAAGTCAACGCCAGATCGAGAGAGGTCATTGCGGATCGAGCCAGTTGACATAATGAGCACGTCGGATCACACCAGATCGAAGCCGGATATCGAGTTTGGCTATAGCTAGACCGAGTGAGAGATGGATACGCCCGGAAATTAGCTCACCTGTGGCATGGGTCGTTCCGTGTCGCCGAAAAGATCAACGAATTCACCATCAAGCGCAAGATCGCGGGATCCGGGTACCAGATCTTCCCAGTCGTTCATGTATCGAAGCTGAAATTGGTCAAGGACTTTCCAGATTTGCCGCGAGTTGAGCTCACGGTGAGATAATCGGATCGCCTCGCCTTCGATGAGATCCTGCTTCCGGAGGATAGCTGGGTCCCAGATCTCGGAGCCGACGAGTACGAAGTCGAACGGATCTCGGATGTGCGGAGTGGGAAGAAAACGCGATTCGGTCGGATCTACCGAGAATTTCTGGTGCATTGGGTAGGATATGACGAGCCGACCTGGGTCGACGAGGCCGATCTCAACTGCGGGCAATACAGAACGCCTTCCTGTGAGAACGGGCGAATCGTAACCGTTTCAGCGTGATGCAATCGCATGAGGAGATGCGAGGAGGACGGGGCGAGACTGCCTGATCGTCTCGACCCCGAGGAAGTGCAAGTCGGATAAGACCGAGATCAGAAGTTCTTGTTGTATATGTGCATATGGGAAACGTCGACCTTCACTAGGGATCACGGAAGGCGAGGTAATTCTAAAGAGAGATCACTTAAGGAGAGCGGCAAAAGAGTAAACGAGCAGAAGATGTGGGTGAGATTGGTGAATTACGGGGCCGATAAGAAGAAATCTCGATCGCGGGATGGCGAGTGGGGATCATGGAGGGTTTTCCCGGAGTGAAGTACGATCCACGAATAGAAGAGCAGCTGGAGGGTTGAAATTGTTCGCGAGACGAGGGATTTGCAGCGACGGATGAGCGGTGCCTGGATCGCAGAAATGGTTCCGCCCGGGATCGACCTGATCGCACCCGAATAGGGCAGTGATCAGGTCGGTCGGCTCGGGGAGGTCGAGGACGGCTGCGCGAGATTGTCCGCCCTTGGGGCGGATCCGGGATACCAGGGTACTCGATCCTGGGGCGTCGGTAGGTGGAGGAAGTAAGGATTCAACAGGAGGTCGATATCTGCCCACTGGGTTCTCATAATCGGGAGGCACGTTCCCAACAGTTTCCGCCAGCAATCTCCAACTCGGATGCGCCGCTGACGTCGATCCTGGTGGTAGATGAAGCGATCGGGGTCCGAGGCAAGCATCGCTTTCGTGCTCTCGAGGTAATGGGTCAATTCCCAATACGCGATCAAGTTATCTTCCTCCAGACCAGCATACGACACGGCGATCCGCCATAGAGGGTTGTTAGGCCGCCGGTGCAACTTGTGATCGAGCGTCAGCGGAGTGAGACGGTTTCGTCGAAGCCCGAGCCACGGCTCCGTGGCCAGCAGGACCAACACGTTTGCACCGGTGACCAGCTTGGAACGGCAACCGGTCCTGGGCTAAGAGCCTGAACAAAGGACGTCCGAGCAGGATACACGAAGCCGGACGGGATCGGCAACCTCTTGGTCAGGGTGGTCTGAATCATGGCGATGATTGGTACGGACCCCTCGATGGCTGGATCCCTCGGGCTGATCTCGGCCGTGAACACCCGAATCGCGGAATGGCTAGGAACACTCGTCTTGGCAGGAAACAATGGCAGATTCGGCTGGAGAGGTGAGCAACCACCGGGTGAACCACCATGGGGAAGCACCACCTGGACTTCCGCCGGGATATCCTCCTCCGGGAGATCCGTGAGGTGAGGGAGGAGGAGTCGCAGATCCATTCTCCGAGGAAGGGGGATTGTCATCGTCAGGAGCACCTCCCCCTCCGCCTGGGATTTCGCTCTCATCTTCGAGCTCCTCACTCTCGGGGCCTTCGATCTGGGGATTATCTCTGTCGGGCGGTGGAGAAGTGGGATGATCGCCGCGGGGGGTCTTGAGTGGCGGTAACTGGGGAGGAGAACTTCCGATCACGTTTCGGCATCCGAGTCGCTTGGCTCTCTCGGATCGGGCTAGCGAGATGCATGAGGAGCAGATCGGCCTCAGCCAGATCCCCTTCGGCCAGATCTCGCAATTCGACGAGTTGATCGTGGGCCTGCTGGAGGTCCGCCATCCGGTTTTCCCACCCCTGAAGCTCCAAGCGAACTACTTCGAGGTCGTCATCTATGGAAAACAAGTGTCAGAGGGGGATCGTGCTAGATCGAATGGCGAAGTTCAGTTACCCAGCTGGGCGACACGAGCCGTTTCGGTGAGGAGGTCCAAGCGAACTTGGTCGCGTTCAGCGATCGCTTAATCACGTCTCTGGAGTGCTGTGTCGCCATCTGCAAGAGCCCGATCCCGATTCTCGGTGACCTGGGTAAGGTAGGTGAAGGCCCGATCTCGATCGAAGGTAACCTGCGTCACGGTCGCGCGGGCGAGTGCAAGATCTCGATCCCGGCCCGCCTGGACTAGACGGGTAGATCCTCCGAGACGGTCTCCCCCCGCGATCAGGTTGTGGTTGGGTGAGGCTGGTAGAGATCCGGTGGTAGCCGACAAGAGCTGTGGCAGACCTCGCGTCGTCGATTTCGCGCTCCAAACCGCGGACCTGCTCCTGCAAGTCCCGAATTTCGTCCCAGGCTTGGGTAACCTCCTGGAACAATCGCGATCTGCCTCGGCATTACGAAGATCCTCACGGGCGGAAATCGCGTGACGCTCGAAGCCGTTGTGTTTGGTGCGAAGTTGGAGAACTTGGGTGCGGAGGCCGTCGGGGTCGTCGTCGCCGTTGCTGTCGCGGGCGAGGTTCGAGATTTCGGTCTCCAGGCGGGTGATCTAGTCTCGTTGGCCGTGCTGGAACGCTTTCCATGTCCCGGATGTCGGATCGGAGCTGGCGAACTTGTAGATCAAGATGATCCCGATCCTGTACGAGGCGGTCCCGCGCGAGGTTGCCCTGGCGGAGCTCGGCCTCCAAGGTGGCTAACCGCCGACTCTGATCGGAGTTGTGGAAACGTGAGCGACGCGAGATATTGGACTGACGTGACCGATGGCTCCCTGTTGACACGGGAGAGTGGAGTCGGTATCGTAGGACCCCCGGGGTCGCTGCCTGACTGACTCATGGGGACGGCTGGCTGAAGGCTGAAAAGGTGTGCACCCGAGTCGACGAATTGTGGAATGAGACCTGAAGAGAACCAGGACGGTTCAACTTGCAGGCTGAGGGCGGATTTGGTGAAGCACGAACAAGATCTCACGAGAAAGGCAACCTCGGATGACCCAAGATTGACCCCTGGAATGATGGATGGCGAGATACTCATACCGTGCCGCGGTATGGGATATGCAGGATCAAGGGGAATTGGTGGACATGGGTCGCTGTCGACCGGCGATTCGGGACCGTGGTAGGTCAGCAGACAGCGATCAAAGGAGGATGACACTATTGGAGCCGCGCTTATCACAGATCAAGATACGCGAGTGGAAGGCGATCCCAGGTCAAGGCAAGATAGTGATCCAGGATCGTAGAAAGGAAGCGGGACGGGATCGTCGAGTGGCAGCAGTCGTGCGCCCGAAGGGTGTAGCGACTATGAAGATCACCGCGCGACGGCGATCGGGATACGGCTCAAGACCAATATCGCGATCGCGGATCGAGATCGCCGATGACGATCGCAATCGCAATCGACAGATCTCAGGATGAGGTAGGGATCCAGATGTCAGGTGATCGTAGGAAAGCAGCTGAGGATGGGTAGTGGATATAGGAATAAACGTAAACAGACTCGAATTTTCTCTAAGTAACACAAGTGTCTGCCCTCGCCTGGAATCGGGGATTAGATTGGCCTCCCAAGTGCGCAGACGGTAAGGACATAGGATCTAGCGTAGCGGTTAAGACTGGATAATATATATGCCAGCTTTGCCCTACCTAGTGACTTGTCCTCAAGTGTTAACTGTGGATTGGAAGGCATTGATTGCTTGACCTGAAGATCACATCGGATCTCAACCCCACAAGTTCCCCGCTACAAGAGGCGGCAAGCATACGTAAGGAAGGAGCATAATCTCCGGAATTGGACCCCGAAAGACCTGGATCGACAACGAGGCAGATTGATCGCGGCTCGAGGACTCTCTTGCGATCGAGATCAACAGATTCGAGGTAGAGTGAAGAAGTTCCACGCTATCTCAAGCCCTTGTGTATCCATATGACACGTAGCGATTTGGAATTTCTCATGGAAGCAATGATTTTTATGGAACCAGGAATTAGGTAATGGATACAGGACTGCCAAGTGTGAATGTGTGGAAAGAAAAGTGACCGAGGAACATGTGAGAAGCGATTGACCTGGAGAGGAGCTAAGGATGAGCCTTAGAGTCTGGAAGCATTATGATGCGCACTATGATGCTCAGTCCAGACTCGCCCTTGTCCTGACTACGGGTACTTATGATTGTGAAAAATATTAGTGCAAACGTATTGCATCGAACACCCCGTACTGCCTTAGTTCAGCCCAGAAAACGTCAGTCCCAAGCTCAAGAACGTTACCAATAGGGACTGTTTGTGCACAAGACTCACGATCCAAGAGGAGATGAATAACAGATGGAGTGGTGACATGTTCGACAAGCAGTGGAGAGCATTATATTCCAAAGTCTGACCGAATATCCCCGAATCCCAACTGATAACCCCTGAATCCCGAAGGAAATCTCTGAATCCGGATGCCAAAGTGTCTAGCATCAAGAACATCTACGTTTATATGAAGACATTACGTTATGGATTCAAAGATTCTACGATGAAACAAGACAAGATCCAGAGATTCAAGTCTATTACGATGGATTACATATCACGATATGTTATGGAATACGGAGTCCTTTCTGGAGTGAGATACCTGATTCGAAGTGTAATGCGATCAAGTGGTGACAAGTCAGTGCGAAGTGGGGTGATGTGCCTCATTTCTGACGATGATACGCGAATGCATAATGGAACCAAGGGTGTTTGAAGTTCAACCATGATGAATGTACTTAAGTATACTGAAACC